AGCAGCAATAGTAAAGTACAATGTATAAAGTACAATACACTACGTATCCCGACAAACTAGAGCTGGAGTCAACAAGGATTTATAGCTCACTATTAATCTCATTGGAAGTTGTCAGAGATGGCATGCACATTAGGCCCACATCAAAATAGTTTTATTCATTTTTAACTGACACTGGGCTCGTTAGTACAGTCCGACACCGGGGGTCTCTCCGGTACGGGTAGCTTGTTGACAATAATTCCCAGCATCCTGTCTACGACGCCATTATTCATAGGCGTAGCCAGCGGGGGGGGGGGGGGGGGGTATTTACCCCCCCCCCCCCATATGTTGTAAAGACTGCCTTTTTCCATTTTAATGCCCTTTTTCAACGGGCTTAGCCCCCAAATAATTTTTAAAGAGTGCCCTTTTTTACGAAGTGCCCTTGATTTCTGAACAAGTGCCCTTTTCGAAACAAGAAGTGGTGCCCTTTTTTGTGGCATCTGCCGTTTTGGGTGCGTTTTTCTGAATTTTGCACATGTATCGCCCTGCAAAGCAGACCCCCCCCCCCGCTTTTGGATTTTACGGAGTCCAAGTGTCGGATGTGCAAGTGCCCTTTTCAAAAAGATTTACCCCCCCCCCAATAAAAATGACCGTGCTAAGCCCCTGTTATTTACTGTGGTGGTCTGCCCTACTTTGATTCTAGGGTTGGGGTCCGTCCACTTATTAAAGATGGACGAAGCTGGACACCAATCAGTGTCTTTTCATTTTTTATTCAAAGATGCAAGGAAAACAGAAAGCACTGAAATGAAAAATAAGTATTGCCTATTTTCTATAAATTATTAAGATATGCTACAGCTTGATAATCATATCTGGGTTCTAGACAAACTTTCAGCTGTCTTCGAAAATGAATTAAATGAATCAAAACCTTACCCGAGGGTCAGTCAAGCCGTAATGTTGTCTCGTAAATCGAGTGGTGACTGCACGTTCTGCCTGCACTGTGAAAATACATAGAACTACACGTGGCTACACATATACGCAGGAAGCTTTATTTTGTATACAAGGTTTTGGCAAAGTTGACACTAATGAAATGAAAAAAAGGAAGCTGGAAGATTGTCTGATGTAGATCTATAATTAATCCTTGCTTAATAAGTACTCACTTCCTGGAACTTTCATCACTAACACTGCACAATTCCGTTAAATTTTAGGCTGGTTGTCACTCCCCGACATTTACGTGCTCCATCCAATGCATGTGTGCCATTTTCTCACCGTGCTCAACACACAAAATGATTTCTCATCGGGGAAAATCCCCCAGCACGCAATAAACAGCAGCGGTGTCATAGCAAAAAAGAACCCCACATATTACCCGAGCGATTTTGTGTGCATGCACAGCCGCGGTTTCCTATATCGGGATTCCACATAAATACCGATAAATATCCGATATATTGTGACCGGCCAGACTTAAATTACAGAAATTATGCTGCCAGGTCCCGGCTGTCGATGTCTTATATTTTTAACATGCACTAGCGATGCGAATGATGTTGAAGCATTGCGAGCGCCCTCTTGCATTTTTCATTGAATAGAGCATACTGAGTCGCGTAATTAAGTTGCATATGGCATGCAGTGCGAAAAACCTGTTTATTCCTTGCAGTATTGCACAAGCATAGGGATTCGGACGCACATTCTTTAGTAGTTTTTTTCGTACTATACTTTTAATGGGGGCGCTGTTCAAATTCAACGATCATCAACACTATAATTACAGGATAGTGTAGAAATACTCCCGTAATTAACCCACGGCTCTGACACAATTCTGTGCACAGGCGGATATTATTGACAGTTTGATGATCATATATTTTTGAGGGCGTCAGATCGGGGGGGGGGGTCACATCATTTTGAATGTATTCCTATGAAAAAAATATTTTGAGACAGAGCTGGGGGGGGTTGACCCCAAAACTCTGGATCCGCGCCTACAAGACTTTGTTTCACCCAACTGAAAATCACTTTGTAAACAGCCGGGAATATTGTTCATAGTTCCCGTTCGATCGTTTACAAGCGGGTTTCAAATTGGGAGTGGAATATCACTCATTGGAGTTGAGGAGGCGCCCTTGTTTAAAAGCACTATTTTCAAGAAAATGTCGTTTTAGATCGTAGTTTGCTTTCCATATCCATGAAATCATCGGCAAAAAGGGCCAACTGAAGTTGAGATTTTTATGTTCTTCCAGTTTGCACAAACATGCCACTTATCACAGCATAATGAATGAGATATTAAACTATATTATTACAGGATTTACGAGTTATTGCGAATAGCTTTGCGTTCCCTAGGTGGGTATCGTTTTTGTAGTTTCCGACCGTACGTTTACATGTACGAACCGCATGTCTTCAAAAACGATGTCAACCGTTCACAGCCGGCCATGTTGGGCCATCCCTATAGACCTTTCTGCGCTTGGTTGGCAAACTGCATTTTTGCCAACCGCGGCCTGCAAATCTATGGAAGGTCCAACACTGCAAAAATGAAGAAGAGTTATTACATATCACCAAAATATTAGTTGATAAGTTGAAAATACAACATTTTCAACAAAGCTACAAAATAATTCCTACACATGCCATTTTACTATGTGTTGATGGCGTTATGAGGACTTTTTTTTTGGAAAAATATGTTGCCAACCACGGCTTCTATTTATGCGCTTACGGCAGCCCATACAAAATGGCGCCAATGTTTACAAACAAAAGAAAGGCCTATGGAGCACTGGCCCGGTGGTAGTCTGGTCCCCAGGCCTGACAATTATTCCCGACGCTCACGTCTAAATAAGGCTGCATCCGAATCAACTGTTTAGACTGAGGCCCATTTTTAAGCTAAAGCGCGCATGTTCAACATGACACAAACTACTGAAAAAGGACCGACGTGTTTGCTGCCACCAAAGTCTCCAAAGTCTCTCATTATTGGTATAGACGAATCTGCGCTCGTGAACACTGTACACTTTCAATGGAGAAACCACTTCAATGGAGAAACCACTGTGCACGCTATGGTACAAACCAACTGGCCCATGACAGATTTCCAAGCTATCACGATGCTTTTGCCATTTTTGGGGACCTTGGTGATAAAATTGATAGCGTGCCTGGATTGGCCTTAGCCACACAAATCTAAATGCATCAACGAAACTTGCTTTGAGGCGCGCAGTCAAGTTGCATGCGTCTAGGTTCTCAAGCATCCTTTTAGAAGCATTGTTTGACAGGGGAGTCAGGTTGGCGTAGCGGTACTTTCGTCGCCTTCCACCGCTGTGACCCGGGTTCGAATCCCGCCTGGGCCAATATGTGGATTGGGTTTTCAGTCCCTGCCTGATTCCGTGGGTTTTCCCCAGAATATTCTTCTGGGCTTTTCCTCCCGCCTCTAAAACTGTAACTTCTTCTCATTGTCTTCTCTCCACAGGTTTCTTCAGGCTTGCGAGCTACAGTGCCTAGGGCGCTTTTGAGGAATCCTTGGTTTCATTACCAGAAATGATTAATAATAATAATAATAATTCCTCTAAGACCCATCATTGACACATGATGCATTTTATTTCTAAAGCTGACATTGGATGCTATCTCGGTCTGTTATGCGGCATGAGTCTCACGACCGTGGTAGAGTCGGCTGACAATCATGGTGGCGCTTTTCAAGAAGCTGACGAGTTAAACAGCACCTGTTGCGGCATTTAACATTACTTAGAATTACAATTTCAGGTAATGGAGCATCTGGTTTGCTGAATAATCAATGTTGGAGACGGATATTTATGGATTGTGCATTCAGCCGTGCTTTAGGGCAGTTACATGTCCTCCGCCCAAATCAACGTTTGTCATGGTTTTCAAATTACGAAGAAGCCCAGCCCATCCCAACAAAACCCAACCAACCCAATGAACCTAGCCCATCACAACCCAAACCAAAATAATTCAGAGCAAACCCAAACCAAAACTAAGTACTCAAGACAAATACAAAACCAAATAAAGGCACCATTTTCGGTTATTGTTGTCGTGGTGTATTTTTGGCCCATTTATTAGAAATAAAATCAAATTTCTTAGATTACGCTTTCGGACCTTATTTATAATTGTACACAATTGATTGACGCACTTCGTTTTTTATATCAATGTTGTTGCTGTGAAATATTAAAAAGAATTTTCCAAAGTAATTCGATAAATGTGTTAGGGAATGTGGAAATAAGCTAGCTATGTACACGCCAGTAGTTTTCTGTAAACCATTCTTTTTTCGTATTAAATACATTGTCAGTTGTGCATAAAATGATTTATCCTAATTACATGAATCTTTAATGACCCTACCCAGCTTTCCTCTCTACTCGTTGACCTCCAAAGGAGAGAAATTTGTAATCAAAATAATTGTTTTCAAATAGTATGCACAGGAAACTTAAGTCGACTGCTGGCCAAGTGATCTTGCAAAACTGACAAAAACTTTACATTTTCTACAAAAAAAATACAAGTATCAAGTCGCAATAATTTCATAAAACAACCAAGTGAGCTATTTTATAACGAAATGACATTTTTGCTTTCGGATATTTTTATTAGCTCTCTGTGACATAACCTAACTACAACTCTTGCATGCATATTCTGTTGTGTCTATAATGTCATTCATTTACTGTTGCGATCACCATAGTAACGGATGAACCATAATCACTGAAAGTTACCAGGTAACATGCTCCTTTTGAATCACATTCAGACTGCAACTTGAATGAGAGAGGGTTTTGATTTAAGGTGAGATTAAGAATTCATATATGTGCACCAAGTAACCGTTGGCGAAAATGCGTGTCATTATACTTTTTAATCTTGTGAAAATTGAAGAAAATAACAGATACATACGGGAGACAATATTAGGACATAATTCAACATGCACGTTGTCAGTCCTTTGTTATAATTTGTATTTTGTTTGTATTTATGTATTTAATTTAATATCCAGGCCTCCTTTAGGTCTTACACAAGCGGGCATAAACATATCCAAAGGCGGGCATGGGAAGGTGGTTTTATGCTGTATGACAACGTCGGCATCACACCTTGTGATACATTTTTACTGAGTAATAGTCAGCCACTGCCAGCTGCTGCCCATTTGCTGTGAATGTGATTCCCATGGGGGAATACAGACCTTGGGCCAAGCAACTGACAAACTGACAAGCACAATCATAGTGGTGAATGTGACCGGTGTTGACGTACCCTGTGTTCACTGCAAGGTAGATACCCGAGCTGTTGCTGCATACACCCCGACATTGCTGCACTGGTTTCCCGGCGATGGTTGGATGGATCGTGGTAACAGTCACAGCCTTGCCATTAGAAACATCCACTACCTCCACTAGTCCTTGCTCCCTGTTACTGATCACAATCCAACCATTGCTCAGTACAGCCAAGTAGGTGGGTCGTATCTTCACTGGCATGGTGTGTAGGATATCACCATTACTGGGATTGTGCTCAGTCAACACCTTCCTCTTCTTATCACCCACTATGATATTACCGTTCGCCATGACTGCTACGCTCGTTAGAGACACGTCTGTCTTGCCAACCTTATCTCTATCCGAAAACGTGCCGAAGCCAAACTTGTACGTGATGTCCCGACGGTAAACGATCACCTTGCAGACGTCGGCACACACCCACAGATTCGACACAGCAATAACATCATCTGAAAAATAAAAAAATAACTGTGTATACGAAAACAAATAACTGTGTATACGATAAATTGATTGATAAATGATTCTGATCCACAATCCTCGAAATGGTCAATAAGCATCTTATACTGATGACGTCACACTTTATTTACTTGTAACTTTTCTTTTGGGATACGAAACCGTCGTTCATACCAGGTTCCCATAGAAAACCGCACATGTAATAAAAACGACGACATCAATGCGGAGGCTTCTTCACTCGGAATAGGTAAGTTGTAAAAGGCATATGCAACTACACGAATGAGTTTGTAAAATAAATAAATGTGGGATGTCACTTTTGGTTATGACGTATCGTGTTTAAGTATTTCAGTGCTATTATTTGGTATCGTGCTATAAAATTGTCATCGTGGTGCAGTGGCGTAGCCAGGAATTTTTCAGTGGGGGGGCGCTGAAACATTTCATGGGGGGGCGTCATGTAGATCAATGATAATTTTTTTAGAAACTAAAAATCTCAGTGATGGTGTGAACACTATATGTATTAGGACAACTTCTGACGCCAGGTGATATCTTTACTTTGGATATTTTTCACGGTTAAAACGCATTTCATAGAGTGGGTTGGGTGTTGCAATCCTTTTAAGTATAATTTTATTCCTCGCAACCCATTCTTCGAGGGAGTTGCTTTTATTAGACATAAAACGTTGAGGATTAAGACATTGTTGTCTACCTGAATGCCATCATTTGAGAAAAGCAACTAGTGTATAGAGGACAGGGAGAAACAAAATATAATCGTTGTCTGAAATGGAATGAGAAAAAGCATAAAAGGATAAATTTAAAAAATTGGAAAAATATATTAAAAAGTATGCACACAAATGACTTACTTGGGCCAATGGGAATTGTGTTCTTGGTTTGTCCCTGGTTGTCGCAGATTACCACTCTACCATTCTTCCAGTCAGTCACAGCAATCTCGTCAGGGTCAGCTGCAGCAGCAATGCCTCTGGCTGATTCAAACTCCCCTTTACCACTACCCTTTTTGCCAAAAGATTGGCACATCTCCCACATATCTTCCACCACCACCTTGCCCAGATCGATGTCAAGCTTCTGACTCTTAATGAATACGGGATGCAACTTTAACCCTGTCATCTTTGGAGTTGGTTGACCTCTGAGCTTGTCCATGTCTTTGCTGATCACGGGATGGAGGGAAAAGAATAGGGAATCCGATGCATTTCTCGTTACCTCTTGGCTGGTCTCTAAGGAATGTTTCTTCCTCTGAAGTAGGTTGCTTAGTGTCTTCTCGTGCTCATGCAGTCTCTTTTTTTGCTCCTTTTGTTGCGTTGTGATCTCATCAAGGAGGTGTTTCTCTCCAGCTTTGACCTTCGCTATGACCCCAGCAGCTCTGTCCTCCACCCCCTTTCGAGCCTTTGTCGTGTTGTCGTTCAAAAGCTTCTCAAATACAGCCACATCCCGTAAAGATATTTCAAGACCCTTAATGTCTTTTTCAAAGGCAAGAAAGCCATTCTTCAGTGACTGTCTGTATTTTCTTGAAGTTTTTCCGATGTCTATGATGTCATGATCGGGTTTACAGTGATCTAAGACAGTACATACTTGGCAAATCAGCTTTTCACACGTCTTGCAATAGAATTTCACGCTCTCCATGTGATCTTGGCATTTGTATTCGTCCGCTTGAATAGGCACGCTAACTTTTCCCTGACGAATGTCATCAACACTTGCTATTTTGTGGGTCTTTAATGTGGGAAATTGCTGGTGTGTCTTACAGCAATCCTTGCAGATATTCGTTTCACAATCCAAGCAGCGATCATTGGCTTCGTTTCCCTTATCACACACCTGGCAGAGGAGCTTTGCTTCAGCTGAGAACGCGACTTTTTCCTGTAATTCAAACTCATCAATCAGACCAACCAAATGGAAGTTGGTCTTGAGGCCCTGGATGCCAGACTGTGGAAGTACCGTCTCCTGACGACACACAGGGCAGGGGATTCGTGGTTCTCCTTGGTATGCGCCATCGCGGTATTTTACGAGACACTCCTCACAGAAGCTGTGAAGGCAGTCAAGTACTTTTGGTTGCTTGTATTTATCTGTGCAGATGCTGCACTCAAGATGAACGCTGATCTTCTCAAAGGCAGAACCTACCGATGCCGCAGTAGCCATCTCTGTGAAACAAATGCATAATACAATTCGGGCGATCACAATGCAGTTCGCCACCAAGAGTTTGCCATGATGAGTCCATTTTTCAATTTCATGGTGGACAAAACATTGCCCATTTGAAGGGTATCAGAAGACAACTTGACCTCATTTGTTATAGATTGAAGCAAAATATTCTGCCGCCTTAAAAACAATATTGATAAAAAGTGGGAAGGCAGACATAAACGAGAATCGTACGCTTACGAAACTACTGATCGGAAAAACTAATAATTTTAAATGTCCCGCGCTGCAAATTAACTCTCTGTGGCAAACTCTTAGTGGTGCACTGAATTGTGAATCGCCCGAACTCTACATCATGATCAATGGTCGTAAAATAATAAAAAAATTACATTTGTGTTGTTTGGTAAAACTCTGTATTAATTTCTTACTGCAGTCTATACAATATTTTAAAATTTACAACTGCCTATTTTTCAACTGCAGCTTTCCAAAAAAAAGTGCTTGAACGCAAGGTACCCATCCCATATAACCTAAAGAAAAAAACACCAAGGTTTTAAAGAGTTGGTTGTCAATGAGTTATATTGACGAGGACATGTTCTTGAATGTGTACATGACCTCGTACATCTCTGGGTTTTGTTCTACCGTCTGTCGCCGTCTTGTCGCATTTTGTTTTTATGCTTTAGTCAGTTTTACGATAGGTTCTCACAAGCTATCGCTGGCCTCGATGATAATAATCGATCAAGTTATTTAGTTTTTTTTTTTTTAGATATTTGTTGTTGATGTAGCGATAAGAAAAATGATGACAATGTCACAATCTGTTGAATTATGTATGAGACTGTAAAAAAAAATGAATTCTAAAGTAAAGCAGATGAAAAAATCTGAACCTTACAGACTTTATTTCATCTCTTAAATCACATGAGTACAAGGTAATAAGAAGATAATAAATACCATTTATAGAGATGCGGAATCCATAAAAAAAAATATTTTTTTGTTTTGCAATTCACCTCCAGAAGGCGCTATATACCCACTTTTAGTGGCACAATCATCTGATCTTTGGACTAAGTCTAAATCTTTAAAAGTAATATATAAATTAAACAATCCAGACTGCTCTCTACGCACCAAAGCCTGGATTAGATACGACACTGGCGGGTATTAGGTTAATGTGTGTCGAAGAATCCAAGTTGACTAAACTTTCAAAATTTCAATAGTCAAAGTAGGTCCCACGCTATCAATAAGTACATTATTATCTTCTTGCTGTGTCGTGGTAAACACTTCAACTAGATTATGTTATCACTAAACCACTGACTGTGCTATGAGTCACTTTTTTTTGGCCACAGCTGTGCTAAAAGGTCGACACATATTTTTCACCAGACACTTGGCCTCCCTAAAATCAAACAGTGGGGGGAGGGGCTGGTACTATTAGGGGGCACTCTTCAAAACGGGCAATTCTTATGCAAAATACATGCATTATGTGCCCATTTCAGGTATTGTAAGGGTTTTGGGGGGCTGGGTTATCATATTCCTCGTTGATATAAAAAATATCAATACCATCGTGGAAAATAGTTACTTAAAACAAATTGCAAGAAGCTTTTAGGGCCATTTTTCATCTCGAAGGGGCACTTTTATGTCTGCATAAGGGGCACTTGGGTAAATCTGGGGGTGGGGGGGGTGGGGGGCAACTGACCCCAGCTTTCCCCCCCCCCCCCCCTCCCCCCCCCCCGGCGTTAAGAGCAACTGCCGCACTTCTGCAGCTTTTTTGCCGAATGCAATGAATTGAATTTGACATGGCAGAAGTTCGACGTTTAGAGCGGGGCTATTATTTTCCATTACTTTGATTTTTGTATCATTCAAATTCCATTTTTAGATACTTTAATTTTGTTGCAAAACGTCGTTGGGCTTCAATGTTATTTGTATCGTTCTGACTCGTCCCAAACCAAATTCGGTAAATTCGTCTTACGTTGAGACTGGCGTTGAATTGACAAACAAAGGTTGCCAATGGGGTTATACATGTTCCGCCTGATCTCCATTGTCATCGACACATGGATTAGGACAAGAGGCGCAACAAAAGTTTTTGAAATAAAGATTACTTTTTTTTCAAAGAATGAAGAAAGCAAGATTGGAAACAATTTTACACAATCCCCTGTAAGAAGTCGAAGAAAATTTGAAAATATCTGACCGTAACTTTTCACCTTGCCACTGACGAAATTGAATGACTGAAGGATTAACGAAAACAAACATAGTTTTTTTTTCAATCAACAGCAATCTGCACATGATGCAAATTCCCAAATTTAGGACTAATCAGAATGCTACAATTACGAATCACACTCGGCAATATATGAACTCTAATGGTGTAATTTTAAAATCGGAAATGCCTAATGGCATTCTGAAACAAAAATTAAGTACTTTTCATGCAATTTAGGCGACACAGCTGTCAAAATATTTGACAAAACCTATACTTTAACATTCCACTTTGAAGGGATTTTTTTTCTTTTCGCGCAACTTCACATTTCAAGAAATCTATTTTAATGTGCATAATTACAAGATTCCCTTTTTTACCGACGCCTTCAGTTTTTTTTCCAAATAGAGTTCATTGACATGGAGAAACAAGCAAAAAAAAATTGGCTACTACCATTTTGTGAGCTCGACGCAAATATGACGCTAAAAATGCAGTAATGGGGCCAAACCATAACTAAATCGGCTTGTTCATATACGTAAAACTATGTTGATTTGTTTTCCTGAAGAAAGATTTATTTCTTGACTTAGAAACACCCAGAGAGGCTGGAAGGAAAAATAGTCTCGTTCCTTTTTGCACAAAATTATTATTATTCAGTAAAGTGATGGGATACAGGGAACATGACTGAAATGGTGGCAGCATATGATCAAGGTCTATAGGCGTTAGGCAGAAGTCGGAAAACGTCAAGTACTATTTAACAAGGCTGCACGCCCAAAGTCACAATGCAGGCACGTTAGCAATGCTGCAAACCCGGGAAATAGCAAACGGGAAGCACTCAGAGAGGATATGGCCTTAGTTTCCTATGTAATTTCTTTGAATAAGAATATATTTCTATATTTATATATAAGAATATATAAATTAATTTTGCCAAATGTTAAGTTTGAAGATAATGTTTATGTTTACAACTTTGTATACAACTTTGTACCTTTTCGAGATCTCCTTCGTGTTCAACAGTGCCATTTACATGCACATTAAATTCGTGCATTAATTAAATTCGTCCTCCATGTTAATTTTAAGTTTCATTTAAAAAAAAAGGATTCCTTTCTGAATTGTTACTTTGTATACAATACAATCTTTATTCACTTTCGAATGAGACTTGCATTTACAAGAACAATCATGGTTGCAAGTCAATAAGTCCCTTCGGTCGGGTATAGGCTGGTTCCCACGCCACAATCAGTTTCAATAATATACAGACCGGGAGCCAGTCTGCTCAAGCATACATTAAAAACCCAGAGTTTATTGGTAACATGACAATATGGCAACTGATTAAAAATCACTAGTTATTGAAACAGTTTGCATTTTTTTTTTGGTCAAAGAACAACCATGTAAATATACATGGGGGTAAAAACCATTTTTTTTTCTGCCCAAACCCATCACGTAAGCACTTAAGACATTATTGGTCACGTGACCAACAACAATGTATGCTACGAAATATTTTGGGATACTTTTTGACACTTGTTGTTAGCTGTCTTTTATGCAAATTGTTGTTAGTCGAGTGGGTAGACTAAAACGAAGCGCAAGAACTAAAGCTCTTCTGATGCAAACAGGTAAAGCGATTCTCGACCTAGGCCCTACCCGACACGAGACAGATCACGCCACGGTGACTCATAGCACAGACAATGGTTCGTAGATAGTGCCATCTAGTTGAAGTGTTTACCTCACTGCACAACGATAAAGAAGTATGAATAAAGAGCGTGGGCTCTACTTGACTCGTGAAACAGTTTTGAAAGTTTAGTCAACTTTGATCCTTTACACAAATCCAGGCTTTGGTTCCTGGATGGCAAGCAAATATTTTTTTCAAGTAATTATTATTTCGAAAATTGCCATTTTTTTGTCTTGGGCTCGGAGACAAAAGAGCCGATGGAGAATGTTTAAACTACTTTCACTAGGATTTGAGGCTTTGCATTGTGGAGATACTAATGAAAGAAAGGTTTGCGGAAACACCATGTGGGAATAATTTCTGAACTAAGAGAATGGTCCTGAAAAAAAAACAGAGGTATAAACTTGACGTTCCGGTCAATATGTTCTGACCACTCTCCTGAAGACGGTCAGAGCATACTGACCGGAACGTCGAGTTTATACCTGTTGTTCTTTTTAGAACCATTCTCTTATAGTTGAAATTATTCCTGCATGGTGTTTCCGCAAACCTTTCTTTCATTAAACTACTTTCCACAAGTCGTTATTTAATGCTGGATATCTAAGTACCGATAAATATCCGATATATCTTTGAACCAAGTTACCTCTCACTGGAAATTGGTTAGTCCTATAATTGTCAATGATAAACTAGTCTGGTTCCCAGACCAAACTATTCTGACTATTCCTGATTGAATCTTAGGTCAGGTAGCCGTCATTAATACATTGTATTACAATTATACGTCACATGAGGAATTCCTTCTTTTTTCCGAAAATGTCCGAAATTTACCGAATTCATTTCGTCGACAATCGCATAGCGACCAAGTATTTCCGAGTATAATATAGGTTTTATTAAATGCTTATAAAAAACTTAAAAGGTTATTAATATTCATTGCTTTTATTTAGAAAACTTGAGATTCCACGACGATTTTATGCATCAAGTATGTACTCGGATCTGGCAAACTTTTTCTCTGCGTCATGTACAATTTTGATTTTGACGACCGTCACCGGCATTTTCCAAAACTCAGCGTGGTCTCCATTCGGCTCTGCCGGCTAACAGTGCTATTTCGGTTTCTAACTTTGAAGATTCCTGGTCAACATTAGTCAATGTCTTCTTAAAGAAATATCAAACTGTATTATCATA